CTACCTTGTTGGGCTCATAGAACTTGGGCATAGCAGCTGGCCGAGCTGCTTTTGGCCTTTGGTGCTCTTCGCACAAATCGCAGGTGAACTCCTTCTTGATGTAGTCCAGGACCTCTGGGCGTGCCCGACCCAGTCGCATGACCCTGGCAAAGGCGTCTGGGGATGGATGTCCCATGTTGACGTGCAACTTATGCACTAGGTTCTTCTCACTTCGGGTGAGTCCTTTGACCACCGGCATCTCTTGTCCTGGGGCTCCTTCCTCTTCATCATCGGGAAGTCTCAGAGCCTGCGCCTCCTTGGGCGTCTCTTCATCTTCTTCTTCTCCTCCTTCGCCCTCCTCCTCTTGTTCCTCTGGAAACGCTTCCTCCAGGGAACTGATCAGCCAGCTTTCTTGTGTCAGATCCTTGTGGGATCCTCGGATAATGGCCTGGCACAGCTTGGGAGGATACACCTCCGCTGCTTTCGCTCGACCTCCAACCAGAGGCTGATGAGCGTGATCTTCTTGGCATCTTCGACCGAGCTCTTTCTTCAAATGGGGCCCGTTCGTCATAAAGCCAGTTGCCTTTCGATTGAGGGCTTTATCTTCTCGAACTTGTAGCCCAAATTGGCACTGATCTCCTCTTACCACCTCCACTCCCGGAAGTTCTTTGCACCTCTTCACCACCTCCTCCTGCCAGGCCCGGCTGCTCCAAGGGTGCTCGAACAGAGCGACCCTCCCTCTTCTCACCTGCCACTCGTACAGCTGCATAGCGAATGCCAAATGCTGCAGCCCTTCATTGAGCATCAGGGTGGCTTTCTTCACGGGCATCCGCTTATAGTTCCAAGCTTGAAGTGGTGAGAAGGGTCCACAAGGAGGACAAACCACCAGGACATCCGGATCTTCCTGAACCAGCCTGCGAAAGCATCGGTTGCGGTCTGACGGCAAATTGAAGTCATAGCCGTTCTTGAGGTCGAAAGCCAAAGGTGTCCCGGCCTCCAAGGTGATGCGTGGCTCTGAGTATACCTCCGCTATCTTTGGTCGTGGATCACATTCTCTCATCTTTCGAAGCACTCTTTTCCGGGTCCCCTTCGGCAGAGTTCGCACTTCCTCTTCAAAATCCTCCTCCTGAGGCATGTCCTTGAGCACGGCGGCAAAAATCACTTCTCCATCCTTGAGATGAGACGGCAAAATGCCCTCTTGGAATTGCAAGTCGAATTTGGTCCTCCTCCAAAAACCTGGTGACACACGCTGCTGCCTCGATTCCTTCTCCAAATCCTCCAGCTGCATAGTGATCAATGTATTGAGCTCAGCTGGTGATCCAACTGGAACATACCACGGGGCGAATCCAGTTGGTTCCTCCTCCATCTTCTCCCTGGCAGCCTCACTCACTGAGCTCCCTTCTTCGCCTCCTCCATAGCCCTTTTGACTTCCATGGCCTGCTGGACGGTCTCCTGATAGAAGTTGGGGTCCTGAGTGGCCCGCTGCATCCGTTCCTCTCCTGCTACACAGCTCATCCAAAGCATTTGGTCCCGGAGGGTCTGAACCTCGGTGGCATAGGTCTGAGACTGGTGCTCGATCATTGATCGACTCTCTTGGATCATCTGGCTCACCATGCCTTCGGTCCTTGCTTGGGCTTGGCTCAATGCTGCATCCTTCTGTCGCAGGGCTTCCTCCTGCTTCTGCAGCTCCTCCTCCTGCCTCTTCAATCGCTCCTTCATCAACTCCATCTCCACCTGGTCCCGGAGATTGCTGGGAGTTCCCATTGCCTGGGATGCTGCACTGGAGATCCCGGGAGAGGACATCATTGGGCTCTCGGACTGTCGGATCATCTGGAGTTCCGACTGCTCCCACTGGAAAAACTCGCACACATGTCGAGCGCATCCGAAGAAGTGGCGCCCCTTGGTCGGTCCCTCCTTCTTGACTTGGTGGAGCTGAGCTGTCGCTCCGCACAGGCACACTGGAGCATTCCCCATCCTTCGGGGTGGTGTCATCGGTGGAGTCTGAGGCTGTGACTGCATGGCTGGTGCTGAGATCACGCTCCAGTCGATCGTCGAACATGGGGCTCCTGCAAGGCTTGGTGGATTGGTGTAGTTGCTGGCCAAGGACATGGGAGTCATCGGTGCCGGACTTCCTGGAGCCACCAATGGAGCCGTGGTGGTGGGCTTGGTCTTCTTTTCCACGTTGGCCACCTTCCATCGAGAGTGACATTCTTGGCACCACACTTCCTTCTGGACAGCATTGCCCGCTCCTGCCAAAGCAAACACCGGATGCGGGCATTGGTCTGCCGCTCGATTGGGAGGCTTCTGGCACTTGCGAAGTCCCTTGAACTCTCCATGCATCCTCACTTGCTGAGCATAGCCCTCTTGCTTTGCGGAAGGCCTGTGCGAGATCTCTGAGCTTGAAGCCGGTCCGATGGGCAACTGGATCGGTCCTGCCGTGGCTGGCGGTCCAAAAACTGATGGACCCGGTGCTCCCGCCTGGCCCGGCATCGGAGGCATTGCCGGCATTCCATGCATAGGTCCCATCGATGGTGGACATGGCCATGAGCCAGTAGCACAACCACCTGCGCCCGAGAGTTCCGCCGGTAGAAGATCTCCGGCCTTGGCTTCTGACGAGGAACTGATGACCCGTCGGATGAGGTTGAGCACCCCCTTGAGCACAACTCTCCAATGCAAGAGAGCTTTTGGGCTTTTGACAGCCTCGTCCCCCATCTCCACCTCCATGGGCCGAGACTCGCTTCGGGATCGCTTGCAGTCCATGGCCTGAGTGAGATGCGGGCAAGTTCCAGCTTCGATCGCTTGTGCCGATCATAGCTGCCCAAACAAAGTCTTTCTCTGAACGACCTGCACGGGTGGCATCCGGTGGCATCTTCCATCCCTCAGGACCAAAGCGACAAACATCCACTGCCGCGTGACCACTGTTCAACACATTCATGGACAAACAGATGTCGTGCTTAGTGAGGGTGAGGGTGTTGCTGTCGAGATCGATTCGAGCTCCCAACTCTCTCAACAAACGGATGGGCAGGAGTAGTGGTACTTCTTCTTTGACAACCGTGCACTCCAAGACACCGCACAAACCATTCAATCCTAGTGGAATCTCCGCCACCCCAGTCACGTGAGCTGCTCCACCCACACCCCGAGCTTGTGCTTGTTTGCCAGTCCAAAAAACCTTCAACCCGTGGTGATGAAGTGAGTCCTCAAGTCGCTTCAACGCTGCTTCACCGATGAGCCCTGACTGAGCAGCCGTGTCCACAACCCCTTGTTGAGGATCTGTGCACAAGCCGCAAAACTCTTCAACCCCTTTGGAGGAAACAGGTGAACCAGTCCTACGAAAAAAATGACCCAACGTGAGCTGCCCCGGTTCCAAATCGGTGGATTCCTTTTGATGCCAAAACGAGTCGTTCTGACCCTCTGGTGACACGCTGAAAAAACCGGTTCTTGTTGAAGCCGGGTTACTAGCAGTACTCTTGCTGCCGTCGGAAGATTTGCCACGATAGCCATCCGGCTGCCCAGTGCACTCTTTTGCCCAGTGTCCCACTTGGCCGCATCTAGCACACTTCGTCCTGAGCTTGAGCATGTCGATGTGGACTTTTCGGGCTCCTGCCTCTTCTCGCATGCGGAAAGGACCAGTCGCGTGCTTGCCCTTCTTTCCTTTCCCCTTCGGAGATCCTGTCCATTGATGTCGACTGGTCTTCTGGGCTTGAAGCGCTCTTCTGACTTCTTGATAGGTGGCCAGCGCTTCATGAAGATCCCCTTCATCAAAGATCTCATCCAGGTCGCCTTCGCCAATCCAAACGAAGTTGCCGTCTTCGTCCTCGTCCTCGGCCTCAAACACCTCCAAGGGCGACGTCATGGATTCGCCCTCATCGAAGGCGTAAGCCTTGCTGCCACCACGATCCTTTTGGACCTTCTCAAGCTTGCGAAGAGCCTTGATGATCTCCGGACGAGCGTAGTTGCCGCTTGTCCATGTTGTCATCTGATCCTCTTGAACTTGCGTCAGGTTGGCATGTCTAAAAATGACATAGCCTTTCACTTCTTCCGGGAGAGTGACTCCCTCATCCAAGAGCTCCTTGAACGCAGAATCCATTCGAATCACATATTCCTGCAGGGATTCCTTGCTCTTCCGACTCTCCCCGTAGATGGCCTTCTCGAAAGCGCGTGGAAGTGCAGTTTCGAGATATGGGGCAAAATGCTCAGCCAGCTTGTGAACCACTGCAGCGGCGCCCTCGCCACTCATCAACTTCTCTAGTGGCACTTCGTCAGCTGCAGCACGCGCCGGCCCACTCAATTGCCGGATCAGTTTCACCCCGTGCTTCTCCTTCGGAATGTCCGTTTCGAACTGCCACAATTTCCAGTCTTTCAACCAGCGTTTGTATACGGCGGGATCCCCGCCGTCGAACGCGGGCGGCATGTCTCTTTCTCGAAAAGAGGGGGTGTTGGTCGTGCTCGAGGATGTCGCCATTGCGCCTCCCCCTTCTGACGGTGCACCGTCACTTCCAGCAGGCATGGCACCTACTCCTAACTGAACCCTCTACACAAACGTCGGCCTATCTAGGTCCTACTGGAGCAACTAGCGCTCCGCTACCACTGTGGGTAGCTGCTAAGGGAGAACAACCTACTACCGCAAGGTAGACCTAACTACCAAAGCAAACGATCGCCACCTTTTCTCGGCGGACGGTGAGTGCGCCCCGTGGTCTTGGGCTTCAGAGGTAGGCGGTATGCCAGCACAAGTTAGTTGTGACCAAGTGCACATGCTTCAGTGAACCACGTCTCACAAAAATGATTTTTAGGAGGTTTTTTTTTTGAAACGGAATGGCACAAAAGTCACTCTTAGTTTCGGGCCGGCGTTATATATATATATATATATTTCAGTATATTATATATACATGGATAATGTGTGTGTGATTCAGGCATCGGATGCTGAAAGCATTCTCAGCCAGGCTTGGCAGATCTACTTAAAAAATACACACACTTGGGTACAACGACTCAATACTCTTTGACTACCAACACCAGCTGCGAGCCTTTCACGCACGCGCTCATCACCGCCCCCTGGCCTGCAAAAGTTGCAAAGCTATAGCGAGCAAAGGACGTGATAGATTCATCTCTATCCATGGGCTCATGTTTGGGACTATTTTCTTTGGACCTTTTAGCGCATCACACAGACTCATGCAGATAGGGAGAGATTCCTTTCACAACATGTTTTCCCAATGGATGGTCTTCATGAATGATGCAGCCAAAAGGCTTACCACGTTGGGTGCAACTCTTTCCTTCTTCATCGCCTGCGAAGGGCCGTTACACGAAGCCACAGTTCTAGAGGCATATTGGGTGCAACCGAACTGCCAGTCACTCTTAATGGCCATTTTTAACATTCCAAACCAACCGAAGGCCACAGCAACACAGGTGTTGCTTTGCCACCATGTGAGATCATGATCGTATCACAAACCTTTCGGGATCCCCATCTGAAGTGGGTTGAGTTTGTACCGTCCACTCTGAACGTACTTCAGCTTGTAAGCTTTGCCTCTTGGTGGTGGTGTTTCCTCCTCCCGATTTGAAGTTGTTGCGTGCTACTTTCTTGCTCAAACAGGAAACGGACAATCTACCTTCGTCTGTCTGTCAGCCACGCATTATGTCCGTTCATTCACCCACCTAAATATATAGTGGTCCCGAGGTGAAGTTGATCTCAAGATCATTCCCCAACCGCATCTCCCTTGGCAAAGTCCCTACCCGGGACGCCGGTCCATTGTCATCTAAGAGATCTACAGTAAAAGCCACAACAAACATGGAAAGCCCTGATCTGCAAGCCCTGATCTACGATTTCAAACGAGTCCCCGAATCCGACGCCTGCAGGATGCTGAGGGCCTCCGACCACAGCTCACCCCTCTCAAGCGAAGTCAGAAACGCCCCGTAGCTCACCACATCCTGACGGCGTCGGCATGCTATCGGACGTCAGAAAACCAATGGTCAGAACTCAGAATAAGGTCTTGACCAAAACATATAAGTATATGTATATATAGAGAGAGAGAGAGAAAAAAAAAACAACTGTTGCCTTGAGGGGACAACAAGTCGACACATGCTACCTAGAATGTTTGCAAAAGGAAAAGGAATAACTTGCCTTGGTATGCAAGCCTGTCCTGCTGCTGATGACGATTATCTAGTCGCACGGGCTTTCATACTTTCAAGAATCCACGTGAACTGCTGTGAAGTGTACCTATCCACTCTTACTATCCGCTTCAAGCACAAACAGGCATGTAAACCAAACACTTACTGTGGTTTGAACTCCTTGACTCATCGTCTGAAAGCAGAAAAAGAGCAGAGTTGCAGAGTTTATGGTTGGTCCCAACACCCGCCGAAACCAGACCTTCTGGATGGATCTGGCGCTCATCATGTCCAGCAGCACCAACGACTCCTGAGACCCGGACAACAATGACTCCTGACTCCAACCGCCTGGTGCGATGTTGCTCCTACAGTAGCTTCTTGTTACTAGTAGTAACAAGTGCATCGCTAGTAGTAACAAGTGCCTTACTAGTAGTAACAAGAAGCTAGTAGAAACAATAAGCTAATAGCTTCTTGCTACTACTAGTAAGGCACTTGTTACTAGTAGCGATGCACTTGTTCCTAGTAGCTGCTTGTTTCTAGCAAGGCCAGGAGCTACTAGTAGCGTCCTTGCTCCTAGCGATGCCCTTTGTTACTCCAAAAAAAACAACTGCTTGGCCACAGATGAGTCAAGGGAAAATCCTTTTGCCCCCGCCCTTTTGCCCGGATCACGCCTGCCAACTTGACCCACGCTCACAAGCACTGACTGCTGCATTGAAGATCACCACATCGCCCGTCAAGCCATCCGCCTATGTGCGCCGTGCTTGAAGCAAATTGCCAACAAGCTACAACTTCGGTGTTCTCTGTCTCACACTCCAACCCGACATGTACAATCCAATGCGTGAGTCAACCAACTTCAAGAAGTAAACATACAAGCACAGGGATTCAGTCATTGGAGCAATTTGAAAGGATCAAAAAGTTCCGTGCAAGTTTATATAAATGTTTCTGTAGTTATCCAGCCATCCACAAACCTTCACCTTCAAAGCTTGGCCTCAGCCCAATACAAATCATAAATTTGGATCCTTTGTGCAGAATTGGGGCTCTTCAGAAGATCGTACGTTTGTGTACGTGTTCAACTGTTCAACCAATCATCGACGATGTGTGTGTGTGTGTGGAGTACAAGGGGTGTTCATTCACTTGGCTTGCTACCTTGTCCTACCTGCAACAACCGCTCCCATGCGCACTAGGCCTCCATGGTACCCAGAAGGTCTACGGCGGCTCGCCAAGCAGCGGCTTTGCCACACGCGCTGATAGCCGTGCTGTACGCAATTTCGTTCCGGGCCTTGGCAGCTGCTTCCAATGCAGATGGAAGAGTGCATGCGCAACTTGAACCCCTTGCAACACCCATGTACCAAAGCGAAGGGGGAACCCAACAGTGAAAGGACTAAACGGAAAGAAGTTGGAGTGATCCAAGCATTTGTCAATCTTGTCCAACTCATCCTTGGTCTCCCACTGAAGCCTGTCAGAAAACGATTTGAACCGCTGTTCACTCCAAACAGTCTGTGGATTACCTCCCAACAGTTTGGGGTGGGAGTGTCCCAAGCGGCCCGCACAGAGTACTGCAATTTGTCACATCCTTCATTCTGGGCAGAAAGGGCACCTCATCTAGCCCGCCTCCATGCAGACCATGAACAATCACGACTCGAATGAATACCCAAGTAGCAGTGAATAGTGCTTAGCAAAAAATATGCACAAAGTGGAGGTTCAGCATGTTTCTTGTGAAGAGTGTTGGGTGATAGTCACAGCATGGTTGTCACCTCGCAGGCAAGACACCTCCATGCACTCAAGGAATCTCAGCGCCAAGGTCCAATGGCTGCCTCGCAGCTTTCGCCGGGAACAGCGCGAATCTAGCTTTGTTGAATTTAACATGGCTGATATGATTTTGATTCATTTTGACCGGACAGCACGGCAAACCAACTGGCAAAAGCAAATCAACCATAATGCACTGGTGATGTGTATATATAGGTGAAACTGCCAAAGTTGAAGGTTTCATGCTTTCCTATTTTGCCCCGTAGAACCCACCCCTCCGCAGCACTACGAAGCCAAACCTGTATGTCCATCACAGCCGGCCTTGCTCACAGGCACGGATACATGAGCTGTAAGTGATAAAGTCCGTTTTGACCTTTGTCCTTGCGCAGACAGCCAGAACCGCCCCCTGTCTCTCCCTCTCTCCCTCTCTCCCTCTCTGCTTTTCTCTCCCCATAACAGGTGATTCGTGGTTGTGCATTATGAATTGTTAAAAACTACTTCAAGGGTGCATGACCAGTACACGTCCCTCTCAACATAACCCTGAGTCAATGGACACGCAAGGGAGTAAAGCTTAGTAAAGGAGTGATAATGTAGACCCGTTGGCATTGATAAGACATCTCGCGCGAACAGAGGATTTGAAATATCACAACATCTTGGTCAAACTTCACAGCTTGCAACAGCAATCGTCAGAATGTCACACTCAAAAAATACTGGAAAGGAAACTACAAATTTGGGAGCCATTCAGTCCATGCAACATCATGTGCGATCTCCATTTTGAATGTTAGCATGACCGCGAAACTCCATCAATCAAGCCCCTCACTTGGCTGATTGACTTCCATCTAGCTTTCCTTGGCATCTGCTCAAAGAGCAGCAACGCTCTCCGCCACAAACGTGCTCGTGATAAGGAGCTCATGGTCGTGTTGTAAGAGATGGTGTCCTGTGAAGCCGGTGCCAGCGATCGAAAAGGATCACCCCCCGTGGAACAATGATAGAGGGCCCCGTGCACTGTATTAGACGGTCCGACCCAACCCAGAATTTGATTGTCGCCGCCAAAAAATTACACAAGCATTCCCAAGTCCACTTTTTGAGACATCAACAAGAAGCGAGACAAGAAGGGAGACAAAAGGAAACAGAAAGGAGACAAGGCGGACACAATGACCAACAAGAAGGGAGACAAGAAGGCCAGCAAGAAGCGAGACAAGACCGGAGACAAAGTGAGACAGAAGGGAGAAAAGGTGGACACAATGACCAACAAAAAGAAAAACAAGAAGGGAGACAGAAGGGAGAAAAGGCGGACACAGTGACCCACAAGAAGGGAGACAAGACCGGAGACAAAGGGAGACAGAAGGGAGACAAGGCGGGCACAATGACCAACAAGAAGGGGGACAAGAAGGGCGACAAAAGGAAACAGAAGAGAGACACAATGACCAACAAGAAGGGAAACAAGAAGAGATACAAAAGGAAACAGAAGGGAGATAAAGCGGACACAGTGACCAACAAGAAGCGAGACAAGAACGAAAACAAGAAGGGAGACAAAAGGAAACAGAAGGGAGACAAGGCCGACACAGTGACCACAAGAAGGGACACAGAGACAGAAGGGACGAGGCGGACACAATGACACCCAAGAAGGGAGACAAGACGGAGACAAGACGGACACAGTGACCAACAAGAATGGCGACAAGACTGGAGACAAAGGGAGACAAGAAGGCAGACAAGGCGGAGACAAGAAGGACGACAAAACGAAACGAAAGGGAGACAAGGCGGACACAGTGACCCACAAGAAGGGTCACAAGACCAGAGACAAAGGGAGACAAGAAGGAAGACAAGGCGGACACAATGACCAACAAAAAGGGAGACAAAAGGAAACAAGAAGGGAGACAAAGGAGACAAGCCGGACGGAAGGCGGACACGCTGTCCCGCAGCAAGGCGGACACTCTTAGAAAGCCTTGAGAGCCCCTAACAGTAACCTGTTTGGCGAAGTACAGAAATCACCTGGGAGACAAATTACACCACCGTAGACCCCAAACAGTTTGTGTTTTTCAAAATCGA